AGTTTCATCTCAAAAGGACCACCCTAGCAAAAATGGCGACTGTTTGTAATTTAAAAAACATTGCTATTTAAATGGTCCGTATTTGTTTCCTTTAAATGCTATTACAAGCCAATTACGAAGTACAGTAGTTTATCACGTGGTGAACTGAAAAATGACTGAAAAAAAAACCATTTAACTGAATTGTTTGTGTTGTTTTACTAAACTTATTTTAACAGAAATACCAATTTAGCTTTCAATTATTTTCAAAAACTTCAAACAGTCGCCATTTTCGCTAGGGTGGTCCTTTTGAGATGAAACTTGTGGCTCCTTACTCAGAAATAAATGGCCTTTAAAATGATGTATCATTTACCATAGGCTTCCATTATAACTTTTTACTGCATCCTCCACAGAACGTTCCCTATAAGTGGGTTTTTTAATTTCAAACAGTCGCCATTTTTGCTAGGGTGGTCCTTTTGAGATGAAACTTGCGGCTCCTTACTCAGAAAAAAATGGCCTTTAAAATGATGTATCATTTACCATAGGCTCCCATTAAAACTTTATACTGCATCCTCCACAGGACGTTCCCTATAAGTGGTAAAAAATTTCATAAGGCACCGAAAGATAGGTAAAACCATAGTATATCCGTACACAAAATATCAGTTGTTTTTCTTTAACCACTCACCAGATATAATGTTGGTTCCAGACATTTTCAACACCCTAAGTTTCCCAGCCATATACAACACTGATTCAAGATCTTCTTCACGGTTATTAAAACTCAAGAACAATTTTATACACAAGAATCTCTGGTTCCTGACCTGGATGATGCTTAGTTATGTAATTTCATTTACGGTTACACATTATTGCACATTGCGGTTAATTAAACCCGTTATGTAAGAAAAACCGTTTTTAATCTCACTTGGTTTGGATTTATTATCTCACGCAGTACTATCCTGATAAATAGACCAATTCGTATATATTCGTCCTTTAGTTGCCATTAGCTGTATGGGCTATTAATTAACAGCTGTGTCTAAGGAATGTCGGCCTTATATAGTCTTCTACCCGACCAATTGCATGCATACATATAGTGCAGGTCCAAACACATATAGATCGACACAGAAACTAATCTTTTCGGATAATTAAAACTTTCAAAGTTGGTCTGAAGCGGCAGCTCTACCAGGACAATGTACAAAATGTCAAAATTAGTCAAATATTGCCTAAAACGTCAAGACACACTTTTAATAGTATACTAGAGAACCCGTGTGGCTTAATGAGCCGCATAGTATAAAACATATCTCCAAGGAAAACGTTATGCTTAAATTTGAGTAATTCTAGTTACATCTTACAGTTATTTAAACACTTGTTAGAAACTAATTTTAAATATCTCTATTTACGTCGTAAGGTTCAACTACATTATTTCTGCTCTCAGTTTTAACTGATAACTTCTAATGAATGCTAAACGGGAGTATGTTTAATCTATGGCTAAACGATCTGCTTCAATTCAAGTTAACATGTTACAACAAAGTTTTTCCAGCTTTGAGAATTGATGAAAACTGTTGCCTTACTGATAGCCTGTGTTAAGTAATTTAAGTTTGGGTAATTTTATTTCTTTGATTTGAGACTTCCCTCTAATCAAACAAATTTTCTCCCTAGAGAATCCTGAAAAGTTGGGTGATATCAACCATTTCATGTGCTTAATTTTTTACCCACAAACTCTGGGTTACCAACTGGACAGCCATAATCTGCTTTGAATAGGCTAATGCAGCAACACCGTTGAAAGTTTGTTAACGTATTTTGACGTGTTGTCTGTCAGTCACAGTAGGCCTTATGTGCCCCACATCATCTTATATAAGAACATAAGATATTTTATTATTCATTTTCTCCTCCTCCCGTTTTCAATGTTTCTTCATTGAACTTGAGGCATTTTCTGTTCATCCAACAAAACTGATTTAACTGTTTAACTTGGTATTAACCTACTGAATATTACAAACATTAATATTTACTCCCAAAAAGCTAACGAGTTTCTTTTTATAAACAGCTGTTTTTGTTTTTAATTTTGTTCTGTGTATTTATTATGGGGAAAACCCGACATTTGAGAAGGTCTCAAGCATTTAAGAGTAGGCATTTTAAAACCTTATTGCAAAACTACATTTTGAGACGAATCTTTTGACACCTTAAACGTTGAAATTGGTCCAGAAAAAAGGGAGGAGTTACGTTAACAAAAAACGGCTTCACGTATTTTATATATACTAGTGTACATGTTGCTCGAAATCGAGCAATTTCAAATAAGTACAGGAGTTGATGAGTTACAAATAAACAAATTACTTGTTTGAAAACTAAAAACAGTCATAATTTCCGATGATTTTAAAAGAGTAAACCAAAAGATTATTAACTGATAAAAATACTCACATTTTACATAACAGTCCTATTTCAGTTTAAAGGGTTAATATTTAACTATCAAACTGTCCATGGATGGGAAAAGGTAAGCTAACAATTTAAGTCAACGTAAAAAGGCTGTTAGCTTTTATAATGTACCATACCTAAGTTATTTAGCCAATTTGTAGGTGTAGGGTGTAGGCTACTTTAAATTCTACAGAACAGAGTTAGGTAAAAACTGGCAGAACCCTGAAATGGAGTTATTTATCATAGGCATACTCATATCCCAAATCCTTAAAATAAAAATTAAATAATTAATAACTTATATCATTAAACATAAACCAACATCCAAAACTATACACATTTTTAATACAACATAGATAATTTATGCATTGACTGTTTACATTTAACAACATGTGTTCTTCTTCAGGCATTTGACAGTTCTGGTTGTTTTCATTTAAATATCAAAGCAAATGTAATTTTTAATTTCTGACAACAGCTGGAGTTTCAAAACAATGTTTGTTTCCCATGTTAATCTTATGGAGAAATACGAAACTTTAAAGGGCCCAAGGGCCTCACTCCCTAATTATTTACCTAAAAAGAAAGTATCCTGCACAACTCCACGTTACGCTCTTTCCAATGACACCAAAAACATGTCAATCGGTTCAGTAGTTTCGGAGAAGTAATTGTTACAAAAATCCTGCTTGCGTATTAAATAAGTATAGATAATAAACTTATAATCAAATATAGCTGAAAGGCATGGTTGTTATCATACATATAAATAGCAAAATAAAAAAGTACATAAAATAGGGTAGATGCCTGAGTTGTACACAACCTTTTTTGTAATAATAGGAATAGTTATAATGGGTTTATTACTATTATTCTTAATATGTAGATAAATTATTATAATGTTACTTAAAATTTATAAAATAACTTTGAAAGTTCATTAAGTCACAAATAACCCACAATATTACGCCACATTCAGTGTGTTCTTCACACGGGAATATAACAAAAAAATAATATACAAGTATATTTAAATTGCAATCAGCTTCCTAGTAGACTCCTTAAGAATAGCAGCAGTATATTAGTTCTCCAAAACATGCTCAGGATAAAGCACATTTCCAAGATTATTAGTAACATAATACCTCAATTCCTCACACAATTCACGTTTCAAACACCTATCCCATCCTTTTGAATACATACAACTCTTGACATAGCATGTGCTTGACATGTTATATTCTTAAATGATATTAAGCGCCCTAAACAGTTTTCTAGACTAATAAGACTTGACTTGAGGACTTCCAGGTGATGAGAAGGTCGTACCGTAATTAACTACTGAGGTCCTTGAAATGTGTTTTCGCAATATTGTTTATTAAGTCCTCAAAAAGTAAAAAGCGCAATGACAGGATACTCTAGTCCTCAAAATGACGTTTTCATAACTTAAAATATACCTTTTGAGGACCTAGCCTTGGGGACTTCCAGGTCCCGAAAAGGTGGCGTGGCGAGCAGTTACGCCAAATAGTATAAGTCCTCAAAAAGTAAAAAGCATCGTGACAGGATATACAGAGTCCTCAAAATGTCGTTTTTGTGACTGAAAATAGACCTTTTGAGGACCTGACTCGGGGACTTGCAGGTCCCGAAAAGGTGGCGTAGCGAGCCGTTAGGTGCTCGAAAGGTGTCATACTTAAATCTATATATATATATATATATATATATATACGTCCGTGAACGCGATAACTTGAGTAATTTTTGTCCGATTTTGATGAAATTTGGTTTGAAGGTGTAAGGCGGTATAAACTTGAATGAGTTCGCGAACCAGCATGATCGGACCATGGGAACAGTGTTTTACGGGGACTTTTATGGGGTAAAAATGGTTTTTCTCATTTTTGACCCTCAAAACACAAAATTTCTCAATTTCTCTCTAGACCTTGTTAAAGAGCTTAAAAAAGCAAATAATTTAGTATATCAAAGTGTTTTTGTACGGTTATTGGTAACGGAGAAAATTCCAAAAATTGTAAATTTAAAATTCCCATGTTATTCTTATAGAGAATATTGTAAAATGATGTAGTTTGCTTGTTTATTGATAAATTTGGATTAAACTTGGCCAATTTATTTCTTTTATACTAAGCTATTAATATTTTACTAAAAAAACTCGCTTAATTAGTTTTCTTGTAGCAGCAAACCTAGGTACTTGTTAAACCTAATGTTATTTAAATAGATTTAAATTGAAAATCAGTTCAGACAAATGGAAATTCGCTTAGTCGGCAGGTATGCTGCGGCGGGGGTATTTATCTTTGATATTCCACACGCCAGGGAACTTTTGGTAGTTAAGTTACCTACACTTTTATAAACACCGATATGTTTGCCACAGTCCACTTCATTTTAAATGTACACAAACACCAAAACAAAACCAACTTAACCAGAAAGATTTCACAATTAAAACACACCCAAGTGGTCTGGAAGCCAGCTACTTAGCAAGTAGAAATAGCATCAAGTAAACGAATACAAGCGCACTCAAAAACTTGCTGGCTTCTTACACGCTGGCGTGTAGCTTGTAAACTCGCTCCGTGTGAACGGGGCTTAAAAATGTATTAACTTAATGAGTTTAACAAAAAATAAACAAGTAAAAACAAAAAAAACAGACTTACCAAATGGCTCCGAGTATAGGCATTGGCAGTTGTGACTGCAAGAAGAACCCTTTGGCTTGATCACCGGTGACAATCCCATTAATTGGTCTAAGAGCATTGAACTGGCTTTCAAATCTGGCTCTTTCTGGAGGGGTGATTACAAATGGATCCATTCTACAAACAAAGATCTCACTGAAGATGTAAAACACCTAACTTTATATCCTAGGTTAATATATTTTCTTTTGCTTTTTATAAAATGAACCCATGAATAAAAATACAATCAATCAATTATTTAAGATGGGAACGCCTCTATGTGCGTATTTTAACCCAAATTTGAATGAAGGATGAGTGTAAGATGAAGCTCATTATTGCGAGAGACCTTAAATCTGCCAGGAGTAAGTTAGGCTGGGATGAGTCTATTTTAGGTGGTTTACATATAGTCTTGAATATATGTTAGAATTGGAAATAAGACTTAAGTTAGCCTCGACTGAAAACAATTAACCCATTCCAAAATGAATTGGCTACAATTAAATTTCATAGACCTAATAACTTAGAAGTGAAACCTATAATCATAGACTAACCAACGCAAGTAGACTTCTCATCCCATTGTAAATTTTGAAGCACGTTTTTCGTGTCTAGTTCATGTACGTGACACAAAGGCGCTAGTGTCGATGAAACTTTGTTTCCATTATTTTAGGGTTAATTTCTTGATTTGTGCTTTACTGTTTGGTTATATAACTAGGGGACAAGTTATTGTTTATGATTAGATTGTATTATTTGGTTAAACAAGGTTTTAAATGGCTGTAATAACGGGAAACAAATTGTAAACAAAACACGACCTCTACATAAACCGTACAGAACTAACAATAAAATTGTCTTCAGCTGTTCCATAAGGATGAGAAATCTACTAAGGGAGTATGTTTTATCTATGCTATAACTTAACTAAAGCTAGGCCTTAAACTTACTTAGGCCTACATTATATGGTAATTCTGAGCAATTAAGTTACTTGGTCAAACCCAAACTTTTTCATATTTTACTACGGTCATAAGGATGTTCTCAGAAAACAAGAAACATAGCCTATATTTCAAGCCCCGCAAGGCCATCGTACAGGTTTCCGAACGATAAGAAGGTTCAAAGTCCACGTGATAACAGAGCGGGAGACATGCGGAAGGCCAGTTGTGACAGTACCGTTATGTTAGGTTAGGCTAGGTTATGAATTAACCTAACCTAACCCAACCTAAATTGTATCACTCAACGACAAAGATGTATCACTTCTAAGACATTGAACTTAGAAATAAATGTGACCTCATATCTGTCTTTATTGATGAGGTAAGTTGTGATTTTTTGTGTATTGCTGAACATTGGTTAGAGGACAGTGAACATGATTTTTATAGGACTATGAATAACCTAACACTTGTAAATATCTACTGCCGTAAAACTCATAAAAACGGTGGCACTGCTATCTATGCATCTAACATTTTCAGGCCTAACTGTAAACCAATAGACTTTAGTGATTTTTGTGAAGAACTTTTTTTGAAGCCACGGCTATAGAAATATTGTCCTACACAAAAATTATAAAATGGGTTTCGATGGGCCATTGTATTCTCTAGAGGGAAAGACCTAGAGGATCTCCGTGGAGAAGCTACTGTTCAACTGGAAGAAGCGAAGAGCTGGTTTGCCGCCAATAGGCTCAAGGTGAATGAGGACAAGACACAGACCATCCTGTGTACCCTGTGCTAAGTCTATGTGGACGGGCAAATGCAAGGTTAAAAGAGGCCGCCAACCTCTTTTTTTTAAATAAAAAAAATAAATAATATTAAGTACTAAGACAGTATTGTTGTCAGTCTACAGATCTCCTGCCAGTGACTTTAAAGTTTTCCTTTCCCAACTTGAACTATGCCTTGATCACATATCTATGTCTGGCAAAAACAGCATAGTTATCTGTGGGGATTTTAATGTGCACTTGGAGAAACCCTCACCCGAGGAGTTTGCCTTTGTGAATCTTCTTCGCAGCTATGGACTTTACATTCTCACGAGGCTTCCAACATGAGGGGAGGCTTGTCTGGATGCTGTAGCAAGCAATTACAACTCATGGGACATTGAGGCGGAGGTGGTAAGGCCTCATATTGCTGACCACGACAGTGCGGTGGTACTCACAGTCAAGACTACCAAGGTAAGCCCTTCCTCCTCCTGGATAGATAAATACTCTGTTGTTAAGCGAACAATAAACATGGATCTGCTTCCCTTGCTTAGGAGTGAATTATCTGCTGTAAACTGGATTTTCCTGAAAACAATTTCTGACCCCAAACTTGCTTTTGCAGCTTTTACTGAGACTTTTTGTGATAAATTTAACGTTGTATATCCACCTAAAATTAGTCGGCCCAAGCCAATGTCTAGTTCTCCCGGTAAAAACCACAAAGACACCAAAGGTTCAAAGGATTGGTACACCCCTGACCTGGGTAGGCTACAACAGCTCATGCTACTTGTTCATGATCATTTTAAGGGCGCAATAGATGACAATATCAGGCAGAGATATTACTTACTATACTGTAGAATTAAGTGTGACTATGGTGTTAAGGTCAGGGATGCAAAGAGAAAGTTTAATGCAGATAAAATCCTCAACGCTCCCAACCCTTGCAAGGATGCATGGGACATTGTGAATGATTGCAGGTCTCCTTGTCCTGGCCCTGAAGTTCTGGCCACCCCTGATGATTTCAACACATATTTTTTAAATGTAGCAGATGAACTTATCACAAATATACCCGTGTTGCAGACAGACCCCCTGGATTCGGTTAAGGATCTCACCCGAATACACAACTTTAACTGCTGGACGAAGGTGAGTGTCAATGAAATTATCTCTACCGTTAAGAAATTCAAAGCCTCGGCAAGTCAAGATGTAAATGGAGTGTCAACTAATATCTTAAAATCTGTAATAGACTTAATTGCACCACCTCTTACAGATCTGATCAATCTTTGCCTAGATAAGGGTATGTTTCCTGATAATTTAAAAATAGCCCGGACGATACCCATCTACAAGAAAGGGGACCCTTCACTCCTGTCCAACTTCAGACCGACATCTATCCTACCATCTTTCTCCAAGGTGATAGAGACCATTATGAAGAAACAACTAATAGCCTACTTGGAAGAATGCCATTCTGACGGAAGCCCAACACGGATTCAGAGGTAAACACTCGACCACTTCTGCACTTTTAAGCCTTGTTGACGTCATTTCCAGTGCTTTTGAGGAGGGTGAGTCTGTCCTGCTAAGTTTGTGTGACTTGAGCAAGGCATTCGATGTCGTAATTCACAAAATCATTCTTACTAAACTGAGTAGGTATGGGGTGGGTGGCGCAGTAATTGGCTCACTGACTGAATACCTGAGTGACCGCAAACAGTATGTCACTTTGAGAGGTGCCTCTTCCAGTGTTGGCAGCATACCTCACGGCGTGCCGCAGGGCTCGGTGCTGGGGCCGGTGCTCTTCACTATCATGATCAATGACCTCTCACTTAACAACCGTACTCTGCTGTTTGCTGATGATACTACTCTGTTCTCTAGAGGGAAAGACCTAGAGGATCTCCGTGGAGAAGCTACTGTTCAACTGGAAGAAGCGAAGAGCTGGTTTGCCGCCAATAGGCTCAAGGTGAATGAGGACAAGACACAGACCATCCTGTGTACCCTAAAACCTGCTGTGGAAGATGAGGCTGTAAAACTCCTGGGCTTCTGGCTCGACCCCAGGTTAAATTGGAGGCATCACATAGACGGTATGTGTCAGACTATCTAGAGTTACTTACCTACTAAGAAGACTTCGCCCTACTTTAAGTCAACCCTCTCTGCTGATGGTCTATCACGCCCTCTTCCACAGCCATGTGTCGTACGGCCTTGTCCTATGGGGCCATTCTACAGCAGCCCATGACATCCTACTGCTCCAGAAGAAAGCCATGAGGATAGTGTCATCTGCTGGCTACAAGCAGCACTGCCGCCCTATATTCATCCGGCATAGGGTGCTCACTGTATTCAGCCAGTATATCCTCGACATCCTTGTACTTCAAAGACAAGGTGGGACTCTTTGGCAGGTCCACACCCACAATACCCGCAGAGCCCCAGACCTTGACATGCCTCGGAGCCGACTTGCACAGACGATGAGGAGTTACCTGCGTTCGGCAATTAGGGTCTTCAACACCTTGCCTAAGCGAGTGCGTGACATGGACCTGCCAGACTTTAATTGTGTGATTCCTGATGGACTGCTGAATAGGCAATTAAGTACGCCTTGCATGAGTTGGAAAACGAACCCCTTTTTGTAACGTGACACGTCCGCCATGAAAGTATATGTAAATATTTTTAATGGTTTTTATAGTGTTTAGTATATATGTAAATAGTAGTAACATGACGCAATCTATCCGACATGTCGGTCAACGATGTAGAAGACAAGTATTCAAGTAACCTAACATAACGTTACCGTCACAACTGGCGTTCCGCGCGTCTCCCGCAAGCCACTGTCATCGCGTGAATTAACCTAACCTAACCTTGCGGGGCTTGTATTATATGTTTCTTGTTTTCTAAGAACATTGGTTCTTAAAAAATGACCGTAGTAAAATATAAAAAAAGGGGTTGACCAAGTAATTGCTCAGAATTAAGTTACCCATTCCCTAGTTTAAGAAATAAATAGACTAACTTACCTCAGAGAGTTTAAGTTACGATGTAGACTAATAATTTTTTTGTATTTTTAAGTGCATCTCTTTTTCTGTGAGAGTGGAAAATAAGTTACTGTAACTTAAGTGTAGGCTGAGTTAAGTTACTAAAACATTAACTTACTTAACCCTCTATCTGGCGCTGGTCAATTTTCGACCACTAAAACGTGAGTTCTCAGTGGCGCTGGTCTATTATAGACCAAGAGGACATGGGTCGGGTTTTTCTATTATTAAAATATGAAAGCCGTTTTAAAACACAATAAATCTTATAGGAAACCATTAGAAAGATGAGATTCTGAGGATTCATTTTCATGCATAAAACATTATTGAGTGAGTATTATTTAACGAGAAACATAGTTTGAAAAACTAGAGAGTTCAAAATAGATTTTGGCGGTGGAAAGTTTTGGTCACCTGACTACAAAAACAGCTGTTTTTGGTGATTGTCAATTAAATTGTATACAATATTAGTACATATTCTGAAACTAAAATAAATTCCCTACAATTCCCTCTGAATCTATAAGGTCGATTGTACAAAGTTTATTTGTTTTTAAAAATGTCATAAAAACTATGTTTTTGTAAAAAAATCTTCGAAATTTTACATTTCAACGTAAATGTCTCTGAAATTTTAGAATTCAACTAAATATAACTTAACTATATATTTTCAAAAAGATCTTTTATTACCTATTGCACAGTATCATTTTATTTTTTGTTGATGAATTCTATTATTTCCTACGTGACCAAAAGAAATAACTTATGGTAGTTTTTCAAAAAAGAAAATAGGCTATGTATGTAGAATTTATTTTTTTATAATTTTATTTTATGAGTATTTAAAAAACATTGGTATTTCTACGTAGGGAACCATATTTCACACAACCTTTAACTTACATTTAGATAAAATGTGTAAAAAAATTATTTTGTAGTTTTCTTGTGGGTTGCTTTTGAAATTTCTAATTTGCATAATCCAAAATTTTGCTACTACGCCTAAACGCATTGCTAAGAAAAAAATATGTTTATATTAGGCCTATTACCTATATTCTAAATTTATCACTGAAACAGAAAATATATATATGTGTGTGTACTTATATTCACAAATAAATGTTCTGTGGCAAAATATATGATACCACTACAAAAACGCCAAAATATACCCGCCACTGGTGAATAAAATGACCGCCAGATCTAGGGTTAAAGTAAGGCCCTAGATCTGCTAATTTAGGTTAAGTTAAGTGGTTTGGATTTAATCATCATGAATGTAAATGCCTAGGTCAAGTAGGCTTACAGATTTTATCTCCCCTATTAACTTATGCCTTTCTACTTAAACTTAGTTGTTTTTGTTTGGAGTTAGGGTATTTACCTAATTAGGCTAATGAGATTATGAAATGTTTTATGGAATTTTTCAATAGGCTAAGTTAGGTCTACCTACTAATGGTATAAAAACTATAACCAAACATTACAACGTAGCATCTTAGAGTAGGGTAAATGAACAAAATAACTGTCTATCCTTAGGAAACCATTTATAGCAGTAAATAATTAAAAATGTTTGAAAAATCAATAGGCCCAGGATAGCTAGCCTATTTTATTCGTAAGTTTACCTGATAAAGAACTTGTATACTTATCACACCTAGAATATTGATCAGTTAGGTGGGGTGGAAAACTTTATTTAGGCCTAATTCTAAACAAACTAAATTTAAAAGTAAGTATTCCACCCCTTTCCGTAAACCGATATCATCACACAGAAAAAGAATTGAATAATGTTATGGCAAGACGACAAGCGACAAGTGACAAGACAAGACAACTGACACTGACAATTTAAGAGGCAGGCCTATGCAGCTGACGACAGTCGACAGTCCTGTCATGTCAGTCGTTGCGTTGTAGAAGTTGTAGTATAGGTGGGAGGAAGAGCAGAACTGAACTGAACTGAGCAGAAGTGGCAGAATGAACTGAAAGACAAATTGTTGAAGCAGAGTGGTCGCACTGAGCCGTGGGGTGTCATAGCTAATAATGTCATAGCTTATAATCGTGAATTTGTTCCATAGCTTATAATGTTGAAAATGTGGCATAGCTTATAATCAGTTATAAGCTATGCCACACTTTCACGAAAAATTATAAGCTATGCCACAATTTCTCTAAAACGTTATAAGGTATGACACATTTTCAGTTTCACAACTTATAATGGTCAAATAGTGGCGCAGCTTATAATTCCGATTCTGTTCTATAGCTTATAATCCTGATTTTGAGTCATACCTTATAATCCTGATTTTGGGGCATAGCTTATAATTGAAGAGAATGTTGCATTGTGGGAATGGCATCAGCTGCTCGCTTCAGTCAGGTCTACCATATATACGATATTTTATGGTAGGATACGATAATTATTCGTAATTGACCGTACTGACAACTGCGATTTTGCGATATCGTAATTTATAACCTAAACATTTATTTATTTAAATGTTTTAAAAGATTTTTATACGAGAAATGGCAACAATTACATGCTATATGACAATGAAAATGCAAGAAATATTTATAGTGAGAAGTTAAAAGATATGAAAATGAAGTGAAGGATAACGGCATTGAAAATTAATGAATCTTGTCAATAGTCCAGCTGGTGTTGACAGAAGATAAAGAAGAGGAACAATAATTATTAATAAATTGTAAACATCAAACAATTCCAAAACTATTGAGGTGTTGAAATCCAGTAAGTTGTGTTTTAATCCAATCCTGTTCCTAGGCCTTGTTATTCAAAGTAACAAAATGCAGTAGGCTATTATTTGCTTGAGTGTTATTAGGTTAAGTTAGTAGGTACAGTTGCCTAGCCTACTTAAGCTTAAGGTAGCTGTGACTCAAGTTACAGATTTCCTGTGACAGGCCTAAACAATTAACTTAATAAAAATATCAGTGAATGTATTCAACGGCTGCACTTTATTTTACGTCCTACACTCATTCGAATGAAAATATCGATTATTAGATTGTTTCATTCGATATATCGTTTGGTTAGTTAGGTTAGGTTAACCTTACCTAACTAACCAAATGATATAACTTATCTAATAATCGATATATCGATCGATATTTTCATCCGAATGAGTGTAGGACGTAACGTAAAGTGCAGCCCTTAAGTTTACGTCCTACACTCATTTGAATGAGTATTAAGTATTCGAGTAGGCCTATATTCGATATAAGTAGGCTATCAAGTTTGTATCATTTGTGTAACCTTAGAAATGGTAAGCGTGATAATACTGAGCCAAGAGATTTAACTTGGGTAGGCCTACAGTTTCTTAACTGGGCTACGCTAACTTAAGTTATTATATTTTATTGAACTACAGTATTGAATTAAAAATATTGATTAATAATAGATATTTTAAAATATACCTATCTAAGTTTATTATAAAATTAAATTATCATAACCTAACTTAACCAACCAAACTTGCTAATGGTGAAAAAATCGCATGTAGGTTTACTAATCGAATCGATAGTTTCAATAAAATTAGCGTAGCCCAGTTAAGAAACTGTACCCTTTAACTTATTCTACCATCAATACTGTTAATACTATTCAATGAAATGGCGACGATAAGACATATTAGGTATTTTAAGCCAAGTATGAATGGAAATTTAGTAGTCTATAAAATAACTTACAATAGGCAACGTCACAAAACTTAAGTTAGGTTAATTTCACACAGTAAACAAGGCAGCAAACCATGCAGTTAACTTATGGCAAAAAAACATGTAGGCTACCTAAGAAAATTAAATTGTGACACATACCTGAGTACATGAATAAAATTACAAATTAGGCAAGTAGGCCTATGGGTCAACTTTTTTCATATTAGCCCACCATACTTACAATTGATTGTAATTGGCAAAGGCAAATATCCTTGTATTATGTTTCTTTCATAACCTAAAATCAAATGAAAATTCGGTTTGAAGGTGTAAGGCGGGATAAATCTGAATGAGTTCGCGAACTAGCATGATCTGGCCATGGGACCGGGTTTTAATGAGTTCTATGCAGAGAAGGGGCCTAGGCCAAAAAATGGGGTTTTCTCATTTTTTACCCTTAAAACACAAAATTTATCAATTATTCTCTAGACCTTTCTAAAGAAATTAAAAAAAATAATATGTCATCTATGTATCGTGTTGTGTATAGTGGAGTCGTGGATTAGTTGTCCGCTTAACTGTGTGTGTGTGTGTAAGTGTTCGCATAAAAAACTCAAGCTAACCGTTGCACCTATAGTGTTAAAAAATTGCACGAATCTTAATTATGACACCAATGGAAAGACACCATAAAATTTAGACGATTCCGTTCAGTAGTAATTATAAAACCCTCAAAATACATTTTTAAATTCGTCCCATAAGAATAACATTAGAAGCAACCTTCTTCTACTTTTTATTTGTTTATGTTTTGCGACCAACAAAAAGCTTAATTTATATTTTAAACTATATATATATACAGTAGGACCTCAATATCTCGAATCTGAAGGGGTTATGATAAAAATTTGAGTTATCAAGTTTTTCAAGTTAGTGAGGTTCGAGTTATGAAGGTTCCATTTGAAAAAGTTCGAGATACTGAGGTGTTGGGGTCTGACAGTGATGTTACGTCACGGCCTTTATAACTCGACTTATACGTGTTAAACATTTATAATCGAACTCTAACTGTATTTATACTTACTGAGGAGTAACTTTGGAAGCAAAATAAAACTATTTAAATACACATAAAGTACTGTATTTATTAGTTGGCAATAAGTTTGATAAAGTACATAAAAAACATGTTAAATGACAAAAAAAAATAGTTTAAATATTGTACAAAACAATAATACAGTATATATCATCCATACACGGAACTACATTTACTGTGTATAATGCTTGTTTAAAGCAAACGTTAGTCAAACTCTTTATATGTACTGTAAAAACAAGCTACTGTAACAACAAAAATACTGAATAGGTACAATACTGTACATACAAAAGTATTTAGACTGTAGAGAGTAATATTTAAAGGGAAAATTCTAGTGTGATTGAAATACTAAACAAAATGCATCGTAATGTAGTTATTTACTGAATCTACTTTGGCAAAACGGGCAAACTACACTGACTAGTGACTACATCAGTGCCTAGCCAAACAGACACGGGAAGCAAACACAGGAAGTTCGATTTTCACGTCTCGACAGGAATCAAGACACAACTGACTTGCACTGTTAAGGCAAAACTTCGAATTATTGAGGCACATTCATGCGAACTTCGACTTATATAGGTAAACTTCGAGTTACTGAGGCTCGATGACGGGAAAATTCGAGTTATAGAGGTAGAATGTTACTGTTCAAAAGTTGTTCAAATTCGACTTATTGAGGTTAAATATTTAGAAACTTCGACTTATAAAGGTACTTTTAACATTATGATTAATGTGGATTTCAAGGGGATTTAAAAAAAAATCGAGAAATTGAGGAATTCGAGATATTGAGGTTTGAGTAATTGAGGTTCTACTGTATAGGCTATATTTATTTTTATAAATCAAACTTGAAAGCTTTATTTTATACTACCTAAGCTATTAATGTTTTAATAAAAAACACACTTTATTAGTTCCACCTGGGTAATGACACTTGGGTCCGAGAGAACCAGTGGCCTTCGAGTTTTTAAGTTTTTATCTACCAATCCAAATATTTGTACAAAGAAAGTATGCCCTACCTTGAGCTATAGTTCTATATTCTGTTTTTACTTTTAACAAGAAGTAGGCCTGAATGATGTACACTGCCTATTTTTGTTCCAGGTAAATTTTCTTGTAAAGCTTGGAGCATTGCAAATGTTTGGTGTTAATGTATGAGAGTACTTCACATGTAAACAATATTGATGAAGTTGTCTGCTTATTTGGGGCCAAATAAGAAGGAGAGAAATTTTCTTGGAAAAGAATCGAAAGCAATAAAGATAAGTAAGTTTGGCTAAGTTATCAATATGATTAAAAAGCATTTTCAGTCCTTGTTTAACATTAAAAGTCGGCACCAGACCAACAGAAATATATTGAGTCATGTGAGCTTAGCCTCAGACGGAGACGTTATAATCGTTGCCAGCCTGCCAGCTTAGAATGCGAGCTTTACTTTGATGTAGGTTGGTACTAAAATTTCCCGTAAAATCCTGTCCGGCAATGCTTTTGTCCCGGTTTCGGGGATTTTATCTCTTCAACCCACATTACAAAGACACTGGATACGGATCCGTGCAGTGCTGCTACCTTTGGGTGTTTCAGTGAACTACATCCACTCTCGGGGTAACGCAGCACAGTCACCACTGCTCTTTTGTGATTCGTCAGACTGAAGTATTTGAATGCCAATTGCGTTCGCTGATTCGGTTGCGTGCCGGGGCTTCTCTCGCCACTGGGGAGCGCCTGTACGTTGTTTTCAGCAGTCATCGTGTTAACTTATGATGTGCTGTGGCGGTTAAGTTTTTATATTTGGAAAAAAATACACTTTAATCAACTTACAGCACTGTTCAAGTTTCAGAGTTACCCATGGTGACAGAATAATACAAGGCATGTTATTTAAGTAAGTACTGTTTTTAAATTTCTCCGTTTCAGTGCTGCGATTGGCATTTTGGACATTTGTGCTGTGTATGTGGATGTATTGGCAAGCCTGCGCTGGAAATCGGCACAAATCGGCTGTGTTTACATCCGGTTTAGAGCATTCAAAACTGTGCCGCCAATTGAGACTGCCGTCGCCTGTGAAGTTTGCGCTGTACCGGTAATTAGATTTTTAAGTGCTAAAGGTGTGAAAGCCATTTAAATTCATTGACAGATTAGTGAAGTGTACGGGGAGAA